TAGCAAATAATAGAGATTCCAGTCGGCCTGGAACTTAACTAGAAGGATACATCACAATACGACTAGGCAGTAGCAAGAACATGAAGCTGAGGTTCCTGAACAGCTCGGGTGAAGTCCGCCATCGTCACGGGCTTATTGATGGGCTGCAGTGGCAGCATCCCGTGGGCATCGGCGATCTGGAATTGGGGATGTTGCACACGAAAATATATTTGTTAGAACATTTAAATTCCAACCCCTGAAAGACAACCAATCAACCCCTCAATGACTCAAGGATCCGAAAAAAGTTGCTTAGCACGCCGAGCCACAGCCTTCCTGCAGGCATGCATGTACACCAAACGGGCATTCATGCAGCACCACTGGCGAAACAGGATGTTGTATGCCGCCGTAGGATCGGACGGGAGGTTGTCCATGTTCTCCATAAACTCGTTCACCTGTGGATACCTTGATTGGAGCTTAACTCGGGGCACGCATGAACCACACCAGGTCCAAACCCACCTCTTCCTACAGCCACTATTCACTATTAATACTAGCTATAAATAATAATTAAATATAGTTGTTATATTACTTATAATTATTTATTATTATTAAAATAATATTATTACTTATAATTATTATTATTAATTATAGTCTATTTATTGATTTAAAAGTATTAATAAAGGCAACACGGGGCTGAATCTTCAAACCGAGTTGCGGAGACGGCCGCCCGGCCGGCCGGCTGCTGCTTGACGGCTCGGACGCAGCACGAGAACTCGGCCGCCCACCACCACTGCTGCTAGCCGGCTCGGACGACGGAGGCCTGTACCTGTGAGGATGCCGTTTCTCGGGCGGCTGGCCAGCTTGCTCCGCCGCCTCCCGGAGCAAGCGACGCTTTTGCCGCAGCTTCTTATTGGGCTTGGAGCCTGGACGCCGCTTTTCCTGCAGGGGCTTTCTATTCAATCATCTCAACACCGTAAAATTAATTAACCCAAGTTATCTTTGGCTCAATTCAAGGGAAGGCTTAATTATTTATTACTTAGTTAGAGCTTACTTTTCCAAACACCGTCCTCGGGCACATCCTCATCCTCCTCCTCTTCCGCATCTTCGTCTCCGCCCGGCGGTTTCTCGGGCGGCTCCTCGTTCTTTCGGCCACCTCCACCGGCGGCGCTTGCCATGGCTGGCACAGAACTTCGATCTAAATGATTAATGTTTACAATTGACAAGGTACTCAATACTTCAAATTCTAGCCACTGACTACGTGTAAAATAATAGGTACATGTATGGGATTGAGACGAGGGCTCTCGTTCGTTAGAGAATTATTATGAGCCTTGCTACCACTAGCACTACCACACTGCTGCTGCTGCTACTACCACTACTTCTTCCACTACTTCTACTACTGGTGGCCCTGCTGCACGGGCTTGCTATCGTCTGGAGGCAAAGTGGGTGCTAAAACCCCAGCCGCTCAATCAAGTGCTTCACGAATTACTCGAGGATGATGGCGGCGGTGTCGGTCACAGCCACTGAAGTTTATTAAAAGTCTCATGAATTTTGCCAAATGCGGGACTGGACACATAGTCAATAGTAATAATAAATACCCTTTGACGTGTGGCCTGGATCTCGGACGTACCTCTGCAAACTCCAATGTGGCCCACGTTTAATATTTTTAGCAAGGTTTCAAGCCCCTTCGACCCAGAAATGTTTAGTCTTATTTGTTTATTGATGCTGCCACAGCCCTCGACACCCCGTCAATGGACCGGTCCTCGGACAATCGTGGTCAGCCAACGGCGAATCGCAGCGGGTGGCAGACCTGAGCGGCAGGTATTGCGATTGCGGGTGAGCAAGCTCCTTGGGTTGAAGGCTCCGAAGTCTAGAGTTTGGGGTTGTCGTTGTGGTTTATTTACGAATCTAAGTACTGAGGTGTGGGGCTGGGGACTGGATGTTCACGCAGTCCCAAATCCAAACACTCCCAACTTCGCAAACACAGGGCTCTTAATTGGCTGGAACAATATTGTATATTATAATGCAAAATCGATTGTGGGAATGCTGTGGCTGCTAGAGCATGCTTTTGATGTCTGTAGTCGGGGTCTTATAATCATAATAATTATATTGAGTTGGATCCTAGTAGCACTAGTAGTCTTCTTTGCTCTGGGCTCGGGCAGGAGGTATGGGTCGCTCGGGCAGTTGCAAGGATGGCTTGGTGGGGTGATGATCCATGGGACGCTGTTTAGTTTCTTAACTAACGAATGTCTATGACGATCAAAGAATGAGTATTATTATGATTGTCATGGCTCTCTTGAAGAATGAAGTTCCATGAACGATGCTTTGGGAAGCTCGGGCAGTTTCAACCTGGAATACGGAATGATCACTATTAGTATAATTATTACTTATTAGAATTATAAGCATTGCTATTCTCAGAACTCGGACAAGTCAATTGAAGCCTTCAGGTGGGGTTCGGGTTGACACCTCCTTTATTTATTTAGGGCTTACTAGTTGAAATTGAGGGTATAATTAGGGGGAATGAATCAATCAACCCCAACTGACTCCGTAACTGAGGCTCGGACCAGGGCCGGGCGGGGAGGGGAATGTGTATTATTAATATTATTATGGTTTAGGGTATAATTTAAGTATAGTCTTGATTTATTAGTAGGGTTTCAGACTACTGCTAAGCTATTTGGGGGCTCGGGCGAGGTTGGAATGATCTGGTCGGGAGCCGCGGCCACCCAGACCAGTATCCGAAGATGCCAGGGTGAACTGAAAGCCGCATGCCGGAAGCCGGGAGCCTGACCGGTGGTCAGGCTGCCACGGCCGTCCAGGCCATGCCGGAAGCCGGGAGCCTGACCAGTGGTCAGGCTGCCACGGCCGTCCAGGCCATGCCGGAAGCCGGGAGCCTGACCGGTGGTCAGGCTGCCGCGGCCGCCCAGACAAGGCTGCTTCCAGAAGACCGGGAGCCGGGAGCCTGACCGAAGTCAGGCCGCCACGGCCGCCCAGGCCTATTGAGCCGGGAGCCTGACCGGTGGTCAGGCCGCCGCGGCCACCTGGCATCTTGGATGCTGTTGAGGGGCCTGGTGCAATGCACCAGTCCACCTCTTCAAACCCAAACCTCTAATAACCACTAATCCTAAACGCGCCTCGTCACGAAGTCCAGGGCCCCCGGCAGTTACTAGAATTAAATTAAATTAAAACTGAACAAAGAACAACACTAACAGTAACAGTAACAACCCATCAATTCAACTAAGCCTCAACCCGAAACCCCAGCCTGAGTCAAGCCCCAACCCGACCCCAAACCCCAATCAACACAAGATCATGCTCCACCCGACAAACCCGCAAAGCTCCAATCTGAACACCCTGAAAACCCGGACCCCCCGAACCACCAATCCCTAGAACCTCGACCCCTGAGCTCCAAACCCTCAACACCAAACCCGAAACCCCACCAACACGCCAAGGCCCCAAGCTGAACCCCTCAACAACCTGGGCCCCCCAAACTCCCAAACCCCTTGACCCCCAAACCCTAACCCCAAACCCCCACACCCTGGACACTAAACCCGAAACCCAAAGAACCAAGCTACAACCCTGGACCTGAAAGTGGGGCGCCGGCGTAGTGTCGCCGGTGCCCGCCGGAGGTGAAGGGGCGGGCTGGGGTTTAAGGTTAAGGGGAAGTTACAGGGAGATTTAAAGTTATGGGGAAGCTAATGCATATGTGTTATAATCATGTTGAGATAAAAATATTATGTGCAGATGATTGTGTAGGTGAGGCTCGGGCAGTTGTCGTTGGAATGATTATTTGATACACTCGGGCGACCAGTACAATTTCAATTGCCACATAATATTAAACTAAGGTTAGATGTACTTAAGTAGGTGAGACTCGGGCGGTTCTTGTTGCTGCTACACTCGGGGGTATGGCATTAGTTATTTAACTGTTCTTATCATATTTACTACAAGAATTTATTGGGTAGCAAACAATTGGTTATTATTATTCCGTAGCTCTTATTCATTATCATAAGTAATAAGTTGTACATTGTCTTTGTAGTTGTCCAAATATTTAACCTATTGCTTCTCAAACAGTTATTAGAGTTCTTGTGATGGGCTGTGTTTGTTAAATTGTGTTCTTTCTTTGTGGCTCACAATTACTACACCGGAAGTATTACATATAAGCAACTACTCAGACTCTATTATCTAAAACTAATATAACAACAATACTAATCCTCGCATATTTAATATAATAATACTTGTAATTAGTTATAGTATATCTTAATACTAATTATATAAGAGTACCACTACTAATTATTATATTATATTAATACTAAATATATTAATACTAATATTAGCCACAGCCGAGGGCGAAGTTCGACGAAGGGGGCGGGGGTTCGGCGAAGGGGGGTCGAAGGGATTTGGGCTGCCCCCCCAGAGTGGTGCCTACGCCTGTTTGCCCTAGATATATATATATATATATATATATATATATATATATATACGTACATATATATATATATATGTACGTACATGTGTATATACCTACATACATACATACATACATACATACATACCAATGTCGGAGTACTGTTTACTTTTTCCGTTCACTGCCTCATCTCCTAAGTTAACCTTTGCCAAGCAGGGTTTAGGGTTCAGGGATCCGGGTTTAGAGTCTAGGGCCAGGATTCAGTCCGAGATATATCGTTGCATATAATTTCGGCGGGTGGCTTCACCGAGAAAGACGTAGCGCGTACAGGATGCTACACACTCCCGGAACCCAAACTCACAACTACCAGCAACCCTGAAGCTCGGAAGGAACCCTAACCTGGAACCGAAACCCCTAACCCCGAAACCCAAAACACTAAATCCTAAGCCGTATCCCCGCGTCCCTGAACCCCACAGACCTATTAAGCTTGAAAGGCCCTAGGTGCTAAGCGCCCAATGCCCCGGCAAAAACTGTAAACTCTATAGAACTTCGCAAATCCCTCATAAAGCCTCTTAAGAGCCTGGTCAAACGCTTGTAGAACCTGACAAACCCTTCGGAGACCGCTTGCCTGCGGATCGCCTGCTGCAGGTCCTTGGTCAAGCATGGGCTCACAGCTTACAGCTCAGTGCCTGAGTTCAGGGTTTAGAGCTTAGCGTTCAGGGTTTAGAGCTTGCTAGGGTGGCCAGGGATTAGCGGCTTGGGGCTTAGGCCTTGGAGTTGAGGGTCTAGGTCATTCTGGTGGTCTGGTGGTGGTGGTGGTGGTGGTGGTGGTGGTGGTGGTGGTGGTGGTGGTGGTGGTGGTGGTGGTGGTGGTGGTGGTGGTGGTGGTGGTGGTGGTGATGGCGATGCTGATGATGAAAATGATGATGATGGTGATGATGATGATGATGATGGTGACGACGACGAGGATCAGGATGATGATGATGATGACGGTGAAGACGACGATTATGATTATGATGGCGAACGGAAATCGGACAATTCGTATTTTTCGCGCACTCGGACGAATATTGTCATCATCACGGATGAGACTGCTTGCCCTAACCCTGCAAACCTAAAAGCCCTGTAGTTTATGCACCTAAAACCCTAGACCCTCTACGCTAAGCCCTCTAAGCCCTGACACCCGAACGCTCCATCGGCAATCCGGTACTTGAGTCTACTCCCTAAAACTGAAAGCCTCAACCCTAAACTCGAAACCCTCAAGCCTCCAAGACCTCCAGTCCCCAGCCTCTTAGGATTGACGGTTGAGGGTTTACGGTTTTGGGGTTTTGGGATATCGGGCTAGCATTTGTACCACCCGGACCTGCGCTCAATTAGCAGTACTCTTTTCACAACAAAGTGCAACATAAAACGCCCCGAAACCACTGCCTAGCTGGCCCTTCCTGAAACCCAACAAAATGCCGCAGTGGGTCCGCTTTGCTGGCTTTCAGCTTGTCATCGAGCTCTTGCAACTGCTCCTGGGCCTGAAGAACTGGGGGGCCGGAGGTTCGAGTTTACACGATTTCGGCTTTGGGATTCGACTTTTGAGGTTTCCAAAAATCTAAATCTCTAAACCCCTAAAACCTAAAACTCCATACGGAGGGGTTTAGGGTCTAGGGTTGAGTCCCTGACATCGTTACGGGTTCCTGATTGAGTTGGGGATTTACACGATTGGACGAGCTCAGGGAATCTGCTGGGCATGCAGGGGTTTAAGCAATCCCACACGCGGAACCTTTTATGATTACTCTCAAACCCTCAAACCCTAATCACCCTAATCATTAAACTTCAATCTAAGGGCTTAGGGCTTTAGGCTTTTGGATCTTAGGGCTTCGAGCTCTGAACTCCGGAGAAAGTTCTACACTCCGAAAAATTACAGCTTGAGGCCTTATCCAATCTGTCCGGTTTCAACGTCTAAGTGAGGCTGATGCTCGACACACCGTAAACCCCAAAGCTTTAACACCCAAAGCCTCAAACCTTTCAATGCTCTCCCAAGCAAACCTCAGGGTGTAGGGATTCGGGCGAGTCGAAATTTTGGGATTCAGGCTGTGGGGATTCGAGCGGTTAGAACTTTTTTGGGGGTTTGGGGTTAAGGCTTCAAAGTTCATCTAGGATACCCAGTAACCTAAGAATAATAAGGCCTCTCTTTTTGGTATTGGGTAACTTTATAAGGAACCTAGGACTACAAAAAAGGAATAAGGCTACTACTGGGCATCCTAGTCATCCCTGCGGCAAGCATGGGGCTCCAGCACCCGATGCAACCTGAGGAGCCACATGCAAAAAAGCTTATATGGGTAGTTGTGAAAATTAAGGTCCCTTTTTTTGTACCCTAAATAATTGGTGCCGTATTATAATAAGGACCCACAAAGGGACGACAACCACCCACATGCGAAAAAGCTATACAGAGTTTGGGGTGCGGTGTTGGTCCATCGATACGTAAAAACCTAATTCTGCATCTATTTTTCTGCGACTTTCCCACTCCAGCTCAGCATTTAGGGGTTTGGGTTGTCATGTGGCTAACGGCATTAGGGTTTTGCTTGCATGAGGGCTTCAGATGTGAAACGCCAAACTGCAAGTTAAACGAAGAACATCCAATATCTGGTTGTTCACGACTCCGTAGGAGAGAACCTGATAACCCTAGTCGAACTAGAGCAAGTGTCCTTCATGGGCTCCAGGAGACCTCCCTCCACAGATTCGCCGAGTGCATAGTCTGTATGTAATACCAGGAGCCGCGAAAAACAAGCTTAGGGTGAACGGTAGCCCGGTCAAACCATAAGCCGTAAACCCGGAATCCTAAACCCTAAAAAGCCCTCTTCACTCCAAACTTTGACGCCACACCTTGCAAGGCGCGCAAAGGTCAGGGATTCGGGGTCCGGGGCCTGGGGTTTCGAGTTTAGGGAAAACGGTTTCGGATAAAGGATCCGACAAACTCGTCGTAGAACCACCACTCCCAGCGCCCCGAGGTCAGGTTCTGGTAATAGTGCCCGCCACGCTTGCGGTTGCGGGGGGTCGTTCGGACCGTCGTCATTGCCTTAGTTGGAACCAGTGAGCAAAGCCACTGAGCAACCGGCTTTTTCGGTGGAGATCGCATGTGTGGGCTGGACCCCCTTCATCAGTTGGACGGTCAGTACAAAGACACATGCTGAGTCGAACCATGAACCCGACCAGCACGCCACATTCGCCATGACAGGGTGCGCCGTCACCGGCTCCATGCCACGTTCTATAATTCTGTAAGACTTGGATTTAGGGGCTCTCGTTTAGGTGTTAGGGTTGCCAAGGAGCAGAACTCCTTAAACAACCCTAAACCCTAACCCTGAGAGAACCCTAAAAGCTAAACGGCTACACCGATACGGAACCCAAAAACCTAAAACCCGTACACGCTGAAAGAACCCTAAACCCTGAAAGAACCCTAAACCCCAAACCCTTAAACGCTGAAAGAACCCTAAACCCTGAAACAACCCTAAACCCTAAACCCTTAGACGCTGAAAGAACCCTAAACCCCGAAAGAACCCTAAACCCTAAACCCTTAAACCCTCAAAGAAGCCTAAGCACTTAAAGAACCCTCGATCCCCTAAGGAATCCTCGTATAGGGGCCTGAACAGTTAGAGTAGGGTTCTGGGGTATAGTATACTCTCATTGTAAGAAGGAACTCAAAAAAATAGCATTGGTGATCATTCAAGCCCCCATATTATACCCTAAACCCTAAACCCTTAAAGCCTGAAACTACCCTCAACCCTAAACCCTATTATGCCCCAAACCCTAAACCGCTAACGAACCCCAAACCCCTAAAGAACCCTAAACCCTACACCCCTAAAGAACCCTAAACTTTAAGGAATCCCTTTAAGGGATCCCTGTAAGGAACCCTAGGCCCTCTAAGGACCCGAAACCCAAAACCCCTAAAGAACCCTAAACTTTAAGCAATCCCTTTAAGGGATCCCTGTAAGGAACCCTAGGCCCTCGAAGAACCTTACTTAGGGGCCCAGGGGACTTAGTAAAGAGGTTATAAGTAGAGTTGTAAGTACCCCAAATGGAGTTACCCCAATTATAACCCTACTTATGACCGACTTACTAAGTTCCACGGGCCTCTTAGTAAAGAGTCCTAAGCCGAAGGCCTCGGCGATCTTCTGACGAAGCTCCTCCAGGTCGGGTGACCCGGGATCGGCCTCTGAGGGCGACGAGGGGGTTTAAGGGGTTCCTTTAAAGAGATCTAAACCCTAAACCCTAAACCCTAAACCCCTAAACCCTAAAGCCGAAACCCTAAACCTCTAAACCCCTAAACCCTAAACCCTAACTATAAGGGTTCCTTTCAAAGGATCTAGAAGGCTTCCGTTAAAGGGATCTAGAAGGGTTGAGAGGTCAGTTTTTAGGGGTTTAGGGTTTAGGGTTCTTTAGGGGTTTAGGGTTTAGAGTTCAAAGTGTAGGGGCTTAGGGGTTCAGGATTTAGAGTTTAGGGTTTAAATTCAAAGTTTTGGTTGGGTTTAGGGGATCAGGATTTAGAGTTTAGGGTTTTAAAGTTCAAAGTTCAGGGTTTACTGTAGGGTTTAGGATGTAGGGTCTTTCGGATTTTTAGGGCTTAGGGTTTAGATCGCGGTTCTACCAGGCTTCTAAAGAGGCTCTGTATAAGGCCTATCTTATCAAGAGCGCTCGTGTTTTAATGAGTTCAGACGGTTTTAGGGCTTGATAAAGGTTTTCGCAAACGATCGCTCTAAGCACTCATATGTGTTTGTACAGCGAAGGAGGGGTTAGGTTCGAGGAAGGGGTGCTTCGTGCAGGTGTCGTGGGGCCTGAGGCCTGCTAATGTTGGTGAAGCCTATTAGTACTTGGAGGCCCATTGGACTTAGATAAGAAAGGTTATAAACGGGGTGACTGCATTTGGGGTACTTATAATCATACTTGTAACCTACTTACTCATTCCCCTGAGCCTCTAAGTACTCTACCTGCTTCAACGACATTATCTATTATTTGTCTTCGACACATGATCATGATGAGGATGATGATAATGCTGACCGATGGGTACTTCTGAACAGATACCCTGGACCCCAAACCCTAGCTCCAAGAGCAAGCGAGCAATTTAGACCCCACCAATGGCGTGCTCGATCTTGCTGTCTATGACCTATAATCCTCAGATCCAAGAAAGGGGTCAGAGTTAGGTTCTAGAACCCTGACACCTGAATCTTTAACCCTACAGCCCGGCTGGGGGTTTACAATTCAGGTTGTCAAGTCTGGCCACTCGCAACCCCCGGGTCCCAGAATCTCGAAGCATTCGCCTTGACTGGGTTCTTGTTAAGGAACTTAATTTAAGTTACCATAATAGGGATCTATCGTAAATAATAGGGTTTCCTTATTATGGTAACTTAAATTAAGTTCCTTAACAAGAACCCAGTTGATGAAGAGCCCTCACCACAGAGCCTCATGTCCGCGGCCAACACCAGAAACTTCATACGGGCAGTTCTCTACGTTACGGTCCGGCATTGAGTCCCCCAAGAAGTACGGCACCCTTACAGAAACGAACCTAGAAGGGACCCGAAGTTAGAGAACTACCCATACAGCAACGAAGCTCAAGCCTCAACCGGCTCAGACTTGCAACTCAAAACTAATAAAAAGAGTCTATCAACCCTAAACCCTAAAACCCGAAAACCCTAAAACCCCAAACCCTCAGAGCTTTCCTGGCTCAAACAAAGCAACCTCAACTTGCCCCCTAAACCCTAAGCCCTAAGCCCTAAGCCCCTAAGCCCTAAACCCTAAACCCTGAACCCTAAGCCCTAAACCCTAAGCTTTCTGTGGGCCTGATCGGTGCAGAAACTTCGGCGTCTCATCTGTGCGGCAGGTGCAAGGGCAGGGGTTTTGGGCGACGCCTCCAGACCCTCAAATGAAGGGACACTGCACCGGCATCTTCTCGAAAAATGGAAACCCGTTTCTGGGTCCTTGGATGCCTTAACCTACCCAAACCTACTTTTTTTTGTAGGGTCCCTATCAATTCCATGTTAGGGTTTGTACCAAGAACCTTCAAAAAGGTAGGGTTTGGTAGGTTCAAGTAATGTTCGGCTTTAGGGTTGCGAAAGTTATAAGATTTTGGGTTGAGGGCTTTAGGGTTTAGGGCGTAGGGTTTAGGGTTTAGGGGTTTAGGGTTTAGGGTTGAGGGCTTGGGGTTGAGGATGTACGGCTGCAAAGCAATCCCTCAAGCTTCCTCAGCGGAGCAAGAGAAAACAATCAGGTGCTTTAAGCAGAGGTCTTGCTAACCCTAAACCGTATACGCCCTCAGCCCTAAACACACAACCCCAAACCCCAACCCGTATACACCCGAAGCCCGAACCCGTATACACCCTAAACCCTAAGCCCTAACCCTTATACATCCTAAGCCCTAGCCCGCACACACACTCAAAGAGACAGGTGTCGGACCCTTGCGTCGGACCCCAAAACGCAAGTTTATATACAAGCATTATTTAAGACTTATGCAAGGGGTACATACGGCTAACTAGAGATGGCCTTCAGCGGCTAGAAGCTTGGACCCTTTTGCATGTCTTCGTCATCTGCTACACTACGGCTTCCACAGCTCTCGCACATCTTTTCTTCACTTCTTCCTGGCACGCTTCGCCTTCGGCTCCTCAGGAGCGGGAGGCCTCCAGGGAGGGGCTGCATCGCCCGACTGATCATGCAGAAGGGTACCTCTGCCACCACCACGCCCCCTCGCAGGGGCCTTCTTGCCTGCTGCACTGGCTTTAGCCTTCTGCTTGGCACTGGGTTTTGGCTTGGCACTGGATTTTGACTTGGATTTCGCCTTGGCCTTGGCTGGCGGGTCCGTGCTGGATCCGGCAGCTGCTCTGGCCCGCTTTTCTTTCTTACGTTTGCGGGAAGACGAGGACGACGAGCTTGAGGAACTAGACGAACCGCTGGAGGGACTGCTGAAAGATGAAATGGAGAGTTGCTGATCCTCCTCTTCAGGGCCTTCTCCATCAGCATCAGAAGCATGCACAGCACCATCAACCATCTCAGCAGCCGCATCCGGCCGCTCTCCTGGGGCAGCTGGTCCAGCTTCAGGCTGGGCGTCTCGCTCGGCGTCACTGTCTTGTCCCTCTGGCTCCGAATCATCTTCCGTTCCGTCTAGAACTGCAGCCATCCGCTGCAAGGCCATCCGGACCCTCGCCTCATCAGGCTTCTGCTGGCAGTCCTGAGTAGCAGCAGTTTGGTAATACACAAGATGGGGAACCAACTGAGTTCAAGCTTCTTGTTTTTGGTTGGAGACAGCAAGAAGCTAAGGGTATGTATGGAAGGCTTGCAGATGGACTACGAAACGACAGCTTAGGCCTTCGTTTGATTCTAGACTGAGCTGTACTATTGCCAACGTGTATCTCGTCCGCATCGGGCATGCTTCTGCCAGAGGAAGTTCACGCTCATAGTCAACGCAGCGAATTGAGTTCGCTTTTGGCCACAAGTGGCCGACATGCTCCAGTTTTTTTTCACTCGGGGGTTGGCTTTCTGATCGTCGCTGAGGTCTCTCGGGTAGTAGGCTTCAAAACAATGCTTTGAATGTTGGTAGGCAAGCGTGGATCCAGGCGGCTTGAGATTCTTCAGCACGGTCGGTGTCTTGAAGGCATGTGGCTGCCTGCCACCGATACCCATTCGTTTGAGCATGATCTCCTCACGTTTTTCGTCTTGCAAGTGATCTTTGAGATCTTGAAACTCGCTGGCATCCTCAGGCGGAATGCTCTCCAACACCTCCATGATTGCGGCTGTCCGGACAATGGGCTTTTTTCTGTCACTCTGCAGCAAACGCTCAAGTAGTTGGGAATGCTCCGGCTCCGTGGCATCTGGGAAGTATGCCTTCAACAAGGACATCCTCGATCAGGGTATGACCACGAAGGAACAACACAGAAGTTTAAGACATCATCCCTGTCTTTTGTTGCTCACTGTCCCAACAAAACAGGGCTTCAAATGATTCTCTGTGTGCCACCACACTCACAGGAAGTTCTTGAATCCTACAGAGCTGCAGGGAGTGTAAGCCCCAGGCAAGCGCGATCTCACGGTGATTCGCTTCTCGCCATGTCTCACCGCCTTGACTTGGACAAGCTTGCAGAGCTGCGTCATGTTGGCTTTGAGTGCCGTCTCTAGCACTCCGAACTTCAAGAAGAAGCTCATGATTGGCATCTCCTCGCCACACTGCTGAAGTAGCACTCCATGGTGCATGAGGTCCGTCCGCTCGTAGGGCATGCCTAGGTTTCTGACTTCTAGCTTCTGTTGCCGGACAACACCGCCAGGGCACTTGCAACAATCCACAACAAACTTTTGCTGCTACTATAAGTGACTGCATGTACCTGGACTGTCAAGGACAAGAAGTGACACACACACACACACACACACACACACACTAAACCCTAACCCGTATACACCTCCCCTACAGTAGTTCCCATCAAGTTGGAAACCGGGTTAAGGCCAAATAGTGCTGGGATTCCCTATACATTACTCTTCAGGATTGAAGCTATTGGGTTTCCAATTTTTGGCTTCTACTGTAACCCTAAACCCTGGTTTTAGCCCAGGTCTTGCTTGTTTCCAAGGGTAAAAGGAGGGACCCTTAATAAGGACCCCGGACCCCTAGGTGTAGGGGTCCCCATTGAGGGTTCCTCCTTTTCCCCTTTGATTGTTGGAGCCGGTGCTCTGAGCGGAAAGAAACCAGGAGCGACCCCGAGGTTCCTAGACGTCTAAAAAGAGCGGCCTCAATGGGAGCTTCCGAAAGTTAGGGGTTTCCGTAAAGGGATCCTTTAAGGGTTCCTGAAAAGGATCTATAAAGGGTTTAGGGTTTAGAGTTTCCAAACTTAGGGGTACCTTGTTTTGGGGTCCTTATGATAAGGATTCTACTATTCAAAGTACTATATTAGGGTCCCCTATTTTCGGAAACTTCCCAATCAGTGAAACAAGGACTTGGGGTATATCATACTATAATTATACTACCGTGCCCCAAAATAGTAGTGGCAATCATTTAACAGCCCTAAACATCAAACCCTAGAACTCTGGGGTTTTGGGTCTATGGTCTAACCCAAGATACGCACCCCAGATGCCTGAATCACAAACTTCTGCAGTCTTGCATCCCGAAAGCTCTACTCCTCTTAGAGGGTAAGCAAAAAAGTTCTTTTTTTGGAGATCCCCTTAAAAGAAGCCATCAAGCAAAAAAGCAACAAAGTAAAAAAGGTACCCAAGAGCCTTAAAGAAAACGCGGGTAAACGGTTCTGCGCAACCGCGGAAATGCCCCAAAACCCAAGCCTTGAAAACCAGACCCCAAGCCCCAGAGACCCCAATATCCCTTAATTAAGGAATATACCTAGGGTTTAGGGTTCCCTTTAAGGGATCTATAAGGGATCTATAGGGTTTAGGGGATTCTAACATCCCTTAATTAAGGAATATACCTTAAATTATAGTAGGATCCCTTATATGATTTAAGGTATACTCCTTAATTAAGGGATAATAGAAGCCCCTAAACCCTATAGATCCCTTATAGATCCCTTAAAGGAACCCTAGCCCTAGGTAGTCCTTATTTAAGGTATACTCCTTAATTAAGGGATATTGGAGTCTCTGGGTCCCTAAACCCCGAAACTGCCTTGCCTGAACCCAAATCCGACTACCGCTTAAACCCCAAAGCCCTCAATGGGAGTTTCCGAAAGTTAGGGGCTTCTATAAAGGGCTCCTTTAAGGGTTCCTTGAAAGGATCTATAAGGGTTCTATAAAGGGTTTAGAGTTTAGGGTTTAGAGTTTCCGAAAATTCGGGGGTACCTTATTTGATTATGATAAGGATCCTACTATTCAAAGTACTATATTAGGGTCCCCTATTTTCGGAAACTCCCAAATCCCAACGACGAAACTCCCTCTAATTCCCGAACCCCTAAGAACAATCAACTGCTGTTGCGGGGTTTCTCCCTAAACCCTAAACCCGCAACCATGAACCCTAAACCCTAAACCAATGTGGCTCATTAAGCTTCTGGTGCGAAGGGATCTGACATGTTCAATCCTCCTTAACGTAAACCCTGAAACCCGGATCCTCGGCTGAACACTGAAACCTGAAACCCCAAGCACCTGAATCCTTTCCGGAAGCTCGACAGAACCTTGTGAAATCGAACCCTTCTTGCAGAAGTAAAACCCTAGACTATAGGCCCTAAACCCGGAACAAAAGAGCTAAGACCCTAAACCCTGAACCTAAGGCCCCAAGACCCTACACTTTGAACTGGTACAGGAACCCTTGTGGTGACCCTGCTGGTATCCCTTCAAGGAACCCTTTTAGAACCCTGATGGATCCCTTTTCAAGATCCCTGTTTTAATGGCTCCTTATGGAACCCTTATGGATCTCTTGTGAAGGCTCCTTATGGATCCCTTTAAAGGAACCCTGCGAGTATCCCTTTCAAGGAACCCTGGCAGAAGCTGAAGCCCGCGCGCGAGGCCTCGGTGGGAAGTGCGCCGGCCTGGAAGGGAACCCGAGCTCGCAGCAACTCGGGCCTCGATCCGCAGCAGGGTTGAGGGGTTTAGGGGTTTGGGGATTTGGGGGTTTAGGGGCTTTGGGATTTGGGGGGTTTAGGGTTTGGGGGTTTGGGGATGTGGGGGTTTTGGGTTTAGGGGTTTGGGGATTTGAGGGGTTTGGGGGTTTGGGGCTTTTGGGTTTTGGGGGTTTAGGGTTTAGGGGTTTGGGGTTTAGGGGTTGAGGGGTTTGGGGTTTGGGTTTCAATTTTGTTTTAGGGGCTTGGGGTTTAAGGTTTATAAGGGCTTCTAGCTTTGGTTCTATAGGTGGTTAGCGTTTGAGGGTTAGGGCTTCTGGTTTAGGGTTCTACAAGGGTTC